AACAGGGTGAGGTTAATAAAGACAAATGCAAAGTGCTCCACTTAGGAAGGAACAATCGGTTTCACACATACAGAATGGGAAGCGACTGTCTAGGAAGGAGTATGGCAGAAAGGGATCTAGGGGTTATAGTGGATGACAAGCTGAATATGAGTCAGAAGTGTGATGCTGTTGCAAAAAAAGCAAATATGATTCTAGGATGCATTAACAGGTGTGTTGTGAGCAAGACACGAGAAGTCATTCTTCTGCTCTACTCTGCGCTGGTTAGGCCTCAGTTGGAGTATTGTGTCCAGTTCTGGGCACCGCATTTCAAGAAGGATGTGGAGAAACTGGAGAGGGTCCAGAGAAGAGCAACAAGAATGATTAAAGGTCTAGAGAACATGACCTATGAAGGAAGGCTGAAAGAATTGGGTTTGTTTAGTTTAGAAAAGAGAAGATCGAAGGGGGGACATGATAACAGTTTTCAGGTATCTAAAAGGGTGTCATAAGGAGGAGAGAGAAAACTTGTTCATCTTGGCCTCTGAGGACAAAACAAGAAGCAATGGGCTTAAACTGCAGCAAGGGAGGTTTATGTTGGACATTAGGAAAAAGTTCCTAACTGTCAGGGTAGTCAAACACTGGAATAAATTGCCCAGGGAGGTTGTGGAATCTCCATCTCTGGAGATATTTAAGAGTAGGTTAGATAAATGTCTATCAGGGATGGTCTAGACAGTATTTGGTCCTGACATGAGGGCAGGGGACTGGACTCGATGACCTCTCGAGGTCCCTTCCACTCCTAGTATTCTATGATTCTATGGATTGATTATTGGTTAAAAGACAGGAAACAAAAGGTAGGCATAAATGGACAGTTTTCAGAATGGAGCGAGGTAGCTTGTGTGGACTTCCAAGGGTCTGTCCTGGGATCAATCCTATTCAATTTATTTATAAATGATTGAGAGAAAGGGGTGAACAGTGAGGTGGCAAACTTTGCAAATGATACTAAACTGCTCAAGATAGTTATGAACAAAGCAGACTGTGAAGAGCCTCACAAGGATCTCACAAAACTAGGTGATTGGGCAACAAAATGGCAGATGAATTTCAATACTGATAAATGCAAAGTAATGAATGCTGGAAAAAATATTCTCAACTACACATACAAAATGATGGGAACTAATTTAGCTATAACCACTCGAGAGATTTTATTGTGGCTAGTTCTCTGAAAACATCCACTCAACGTGCAGCAGCTGTCACAAAAGCAAACGTAATGTTAGGAATAATATACAAAGGGATAGAGAATAAGACAGAGAATATTTTATTGTCAGTTTATAAAACCATGGTATGCCCACATCTTGAATACTGCATACAGATGGGGTCACCTCATCTCAAAAATATATATTGATATTGGAAAAAGTTCAGAAAAGGGCAACAAAAATGATTAAGGGTTTGGAATGGGTGCCATATGAAGAGAGATTAAAAAGATTGGGACTTTTCAGTTTAGGAAGGAGAAGACTAACAGAGTGGGATATGATAGAGGTCTACAAAATCACAATAGGTATGGAGAAAGTGAATAAGGAAAAGTTATTTATTTGGTCCCGTAACACAAGAACTAGAGATCATCAAATGAAATTAATAGGTAGCAGGTTTAAAACAAACAAAAGGAAGGTTTCCTTCACACGGCGCACAGTCAATCTGTGGAACTCCTTGCCAGAGGATGTTGTGAATACCAGGACTTTAACAGGGTACAAAAAAGAACTAGATAAATTCATGGAAGTTAGGTTCAGCAATACTTATTAGCCAAAATTGGTAAGAATGGTATGCCTAGCCTCTGTTTGTCAGACCCAGCATGTCTTTCCAGCTTCTAAGCTAAAATTCTGTAACAATAGGGAGTCAGGTTTGAGGCTACATAAAGGTGGCAAGATAGTGAAAAGTGTGACAAGATATTATCAAAGTTACTTTACTCACTGCTTGCACCAATAGCTGGAGATCCATATGCAGTTTTGGAGGCAATCCCAATGCTTAGAAGCCCAAATGGAGATCTTGGGTGCTCAATGGTTTCCCTCTTGAATCCTTTGCCAGGACTGTATTGAGCCCAGGAGAACTCTGTGCCTGGAATTGGCTTCCATACAAGGTTTCCTAATGGTTTCTTATCAGTGGTGATACCACCAGATTCTGATGTTTTGGCTGTTATCAGTGCATAGTTTTCATACTTGTCCTGCCCATGGATGTGATAGATCTGGCAGTATCCAGACACATCTGGGATCGTCAGGAGGAACGGATCATACGAGATTGCCCCTTTTTTCCCTCCAGTGCAGAAGAAGACAACTTGGATCCCTGCACTAGCAGAGATATACAAGGGGTTAGGGAATTTGATTTCAAATGGCACAACCTGCCCAGCAACCAGGTCCCTAGTGGCTTTCATGTTCCCAGCCCGATAATCCATGTGGGTGTGTTGGGAAGCAGCCACATACACCAAGTCAAATTTGGGCTGGAAGGATAAAGGAGGTACGATGAATGTGGTGCCCCAGCCAGACACCGGCAGGAGTTGCTCACTCACATAGTCACAGGCAGTGTGCTTTAAAACACATACGTGTCCACTATAGACGGCCACGGGATTCGCGGACACAATCCTGGTGCCAGATAAGTCATCTTGGCTCTGCAGCTGGACTGCCTGGTAAGCTCTAAGTGAGATGACCAGTTTTCTCCCTGCTCTGTAGGTTTCTCCTTGGAAAGTTACAGCTCCTTTGAGGTAAACTTCAACAACGGTGGGATCCTTCCAAGCTACTACAGCAAATTGCTTACCAAGATCTTCTCGATTCCCCATTGGAGTCACCACATAGTACTCAGTCCCGAGTCTCTGCACAGGGTACACTACAGTGGTATCAGCCGTATAAGTCTTGTAGTTCAGAGAGAGGATGGAGATCTCATGGTCAGAGCGGATGATGACTGTGTGGTCAGACACTTGGCTTCCAGCCAGGTCCACGAATGCAGGGATCATCACAGATACTGTGTCTTCAGGATGTGCAGTGACAGTGACCAAAAAATCTGCTTTATTCACTGAGATGGTGACGATCGTCCCAGGGACATAGCCAGTAATGAACAACTTGAAGTTTTTACCACCATAATACGGTAAGTGATTCTGCATGAAGACAGTGATAAATTCTGTCCCTTGGGGGCCTGAGCAAGAAGCAGGGGGTAGATCTGCAGGCTGAATGGTAGGAGCAGCTCTCAAAATGCCTAGACAGAGGAGAGAAATACTGAAAAGCATCACAATCCCAGTCATCAACTTTTACAAGCTCTGCTCTTGTCATCAGATTTGGGAACAAGCAGAAGAGACACAGGAATGGCAGGAATAACCCCACCTCTGCAAGTGAATGTCACTGGTACATTTTACAAAGCCAGCTGTACCTTCATCTCTTCCTCCAGTCTCCAGACAACTATGAGACCTCTGCTGTCTACATGGGGACTTAAGTCAGCATACCTATGCAACTCAGGGATGTGGATTTTTCACACCCCTGACTGATATAGTTAAACCAACCTGTGTCTCTAGCATAGACCAAGCCTTGGAGTGTCTTACGTTTTGTCTCAGGATCTATCCACGTTTGTCCTGAGAAGTGCATTTCCCTCTACCTCAACTGATGTTCCTGGACAGTCACACATCAACCCAGTCTTTGTGTATAACTATTTTGGGTAGGGGTGATTTTATACAAATAGTTATATGAATATAATTTCTGTATGGATCCAGTCACACTGCTATAAAGATGCCCAAGGCTCTGTCTACATAACAAAGTTTTACCATTTGTACGATATAGTTATGCAGGTGATATATTTTACTGATATAACCCCCAGTGTGGACACCTGAATTCCAGAATGAGTATCTTTTTTCAGTTTCATTTACACTGCTTCCCAAGTAATATTGACTAATCAAAAAAGTGTGCTCTTCTAGAGGAATAAGGCCATGTCTACACTACACATTTCAGCCTTCACAGTTGTGTCAGGCAGGAGTGGGAAGAGGTGTTATAGTTGACCAATATAGATATGCCAGCAAAAGCCTCTAGTCATTTATGCCAACAAAACTGTGCTGTTGCTGGTATATTTCACTGGGCCAGATTTACATTACAGATGGTTGGTCTACACTACAAAATTACACTATCCTACAAAATTAGATTTACCTAACTATGTCTCCCAGGGGTATGAAAAATCCATACCCCTGAGCAACATACTTAAGCCAATCTAACTCACCATATAGACAGGTTGATGGTGGATTTGCACAGTGATGGGAGAACCTCGCCCACTGCTGTTGATCTACACCATGCAATTTTAGTGTGTTAAGTGCAGACATAGCTGAATGTAGTGTAAGGTTTACCATATAAAGTGCAGAGTTTTGCTGGCATAACGCAATTAGCTTGAAGTATAAAAACGCCACAATCTTAAATACACAGCGAGACCAGCAAAACCCTTGGTATACACTCATTGCGTACTGGCAAGAGTCCTTTGCCAGAATAGGTCATGTTGCTCAGGAAAGTGGTTTAAGAACTCCTTTTGCCAGCACAAGCTGCATCACCACTATAGGGTTTGCCAGTTTGGCTACACTGGAATAGCTGCGCCAAAAGAACCTCTGTTGTCCAATAGCCTGAGGACTAGTCTGCTATCTATCTATCATAGAGAGTTTGTGCATCTGTCTGTCCATGAATCCATCTGTACATCCTTTTATTGAAGAACTTCTAAACAGTCAGAGTTAGGACCACCACGAGAAATATGCAAATGAGGCTAAGTGTGGAATATCGCCGAGCCTCATTTGCATTCCTAATGAGCTGCCATTTTTGCGGAAGAGGTTCTTGCGCCAGAAGGAGCATCTACACTTCCCCTTCTTGCACAAGAAAAACCCTCTTGCGCAATGCCGTTATTTCTGAAAATAATCAGCGTAATGGCATTGTGCAACAGGGTTTTTCTTGTGCAAGAAGGGGCAGTGTAGACAGCTCCTTCTGGTGCAAGAGCCTCTTCTGCAAAAATGGTGGCTCATTAGGTATGCAAATGAGGCTCGGCAACATTCCACTCTTAGCCTCATTTGCATATTTCTGGTGCAAGATCCCGCCAGTGTAGATATAGCCTTGGTGTGCAGCTTCCTCTTTTCCTAACGTAAAGCAAGGTCAGGGTTTAGTTGTGCCAGGACAATAGGATGTGCCTTAAATGGCATTGTTTTCCATAACACAGACAGGGAGGGGGCTGATCAGAGGGACAGTTATACTGCCGACTGACCACGGGGAGCAGCTATGCTGCAGAGTGGCCAAAGGGGTATGGCCTCACCAGGAAGATAGTGGCTAGCTGGGGCCAGGGCTCTCCATGTTCCTGGCCACCAGCATGTTACCTGTCCTCCCCACCCCAAACTCCTTCCACCAGCCCTTGGTCACAGCACCAGACAGGGAAGGGGTAACCAACCAGCCAGCAGCCCCACCATCCCAGAGGAGCATCATTGGTGCTGAGGCTGGGCCATGCAGCCCCACGCTCCCACCCCCAGGCTTCATGGCCCAGCCTCAGCACTGCTGGGGGCTGGAGCCCAGCCACACATACTTGCCTCCCCCCACACAAGGAGCCTCATTGGCAGTTGAGGCTGGACCATGCAGCACCCTCCCCCCTCTCCTTCCAAGGAGCCAGTGACTGGATCTGGGCACCATATCCCCAACCCCCCAGGGGGAGCTGGCACCTACAGCATCATCCTTAGTGCCATGGGTGGCCCTAGTCAGCCCCCCTAGACATCTAAGCCCCCTCCCCTGAGTTCCCTGACCTGATCACCCACCTCCTGCCCTCAATCCTTCACTCCTGCCCCCTTACCCTGAGCTCCCCACATCCTACCACCTGCTCTGACGACTGCACCACCTAATTCCTGCCATGAGTCCTCCAACCCCTGCCCTTACTCCTGTACCCCACACACTGCAAGTCCATGCTCTGAAGGACCCAAGCAATGCCAGGTAAGTCTTCTAGTAAGTTATACTGGCAAAAGCACTGTATGGCTGGTATAATGTGGGTCGCCCTAGGAGTGCTTTGCCAATACACTGATACAGCAGTCCTTGTATATGCTCCTAGTGACGACCTTACCTGAAAGTGCCTATTCAGGAGGTTATACCAGTAAAACTTCATTGGTTTATATTCAATCCTTTGGTTACACCAAAAGAACATGGCTTGTGTAAACAAATCCTTATGCTAGTAAAGCTTGCTTTTTGCCCAGATACTTACACTAGTGCAGCCCTTTGCATGTCACTGCTATAGCTGCTAAAAGTTGCTTCAGAACACTATAGCTTATTCTCTTTCCTATATGGAAATAGCTGCGTATGACGGGCCAGAAATATTCACTTGGTAATTCCTGCATCATGTGACTGAGTCAGGGTCCTCCTATTGCATACATTTGTGTGTTTACCCTTAACTCTGTCCCCTTCAAAGACTGGTCATTGAATGTTCTGATGAAGGCACACTCTGGAATACCACTTTTCATCCAAGCCCTGGTCTACACACATATTTTGTACTGATATAACTATGGTGGTTAAGACTATGCCAAATTATAATATCAAAATCTAGAGCAGATACAGTTCTTTTAATGAGAAAGTGTCTTACTTCTCATCCTCACTACAAAGTCTTGCCAGCATAGCAGTCAGCTAGAAGTGAGGGGGGAAAATCACACCATTTAGCCAATGCGGGCTGGCAAAGCCCCTGTTGCAGACACAGCTATGCCAACAGAAGAGTGTCTGTTTGCACAACTAATGTTATTCAGAAAGATGGTAAAAACAGAGCTCCTTCTGCTTCACACCACATTTCCACAAGGGGTCTCTTCCAGCACAGCCAAGGTGCTGTAACATTAGACAAGTGTATCCCCTTTCCCTGACAAAGTGGTGGAAGCACATGTCTATTAATATAATTATATTTCACTAGGGAGGTTGTAGTTCTTTAGCTATAGCACTTTAGTTAATGTGGGTCAAGCAGTTTGGACAATCTAAGTGAATGGTTGGGGCTGCTGTCCGGATGGTTTGCTCCATTCCCTTTTAATGATTCTCATTTATAAGCCTTACTGATGTAACAACATGGCAGAAAAGGACTCATTCTCTCCTGCTTCACAGGGAATCTCTTTACAAAGCACCCTCTTCAGGTTCACGATACATTGGAGTAGAGCACACAGCAATCATATTTCTGTTCTGTATCAGGTCTGCTGACAGTCTGAGCAAAAGGGGCAATTGCCGAAAGGCTCAGACAATTTAATGGGCCCTGGGGCCCCAGCTACTGTGGTGGCAGTTCTGCCTGTTCTGAGGAAAAAGTCTCTAAAGTCAACAACTCTTTTGATATGCCTCATGTAGGTTCACGGGTGGGGTTGCTGTCAATGGGTTTATTTGGTATTGATTGCTACAGTGCATTGGCCCCATGCTGAGTTCTAGCCTTTTCAAGTCTGAGAGAAAGTGTTGTCCAGTGCAGGGATTGGGAAGGAAGGGAACAGGGAAAGATGGTGGAAGACAGGTGGGGGGGGGGGAAGACTATAAAATAGATTATACTTGCCACCAATAGCCGATGAGCCATATCCAGCCTTGTCTTTAATCCCAACACTCAGGACACTAAATAGGGAGTGGGGATTCTCTATGACGTGGTTGGTAAACCCACTTCCCAAGTCGTATTCAGTCCAAGAGTATGCAATGCCTGGAATAGGCCTCCACGTAGGAGCACGTAGTTGTTTCTCATCAACAATAACACCAGCAGTCTCAGCCGTCTTGGCTACAATCACAGCGTAGTTCTGAAACAGCTCCTGCCCATGGATGTGATAGATCTGGCAGTATCCAGACACATCTGGGATCGTCAGGAGGAACGGATCATACGAGATTGCCCCTTTTTTCCCTCCAGTGCAGAAGAAGACAACTTGGATCCCTGCACTAGCAGAGATATACAAGGGGTTAGGGAATTTGATTTCAAATGGCACAACCTGCCCAGCAACCAGGTCCCTAGTGGCTTTCATGTTCCCAGCCCGATAATCCATGTGGGTGTGTTGGGAAGCAGCCACATACACCAAGTCAAATTTGGGCTGGAAGGATAAAGGAGGTACGATGAATGTGGTGCCCCAGCCAGACACCGGCAGGAGTTGCTCACTCACATAGTCACAGGCAGTGTGCTTTAAAACACATACGTGTCCACTATAGACGGCCACGGGATTCGCGGACACAATCCTGGTGCCAGATAAGTCATCTTGGCTCTGCAGCTGGACTGCCTGGTAAGCTCTAAGTGAGATGACCAGTTTTCTCCCTGCTCTGTAGGTTTCTCCTTGGAAAGTTACAGCTCCTTTGAGGTAAACTTCAACAACGGTGGGATCCTTCCAAGCTACTACAGCAAATTGCTTACCAAGATCTTCTCGATTCCCCATTGGAGTCACCACATAGTACTCAGTCCCGAGTCTCTGCACAGGGTACACTACAGTGGTATCAGCCGTATAAGTCTTGTAGTTCAGAGAGAGGATGGAGATCTCATGGTCAGAGCGGATGATGACTGTGTGGTCAGACACTTGGCTTCCATCCAGCCCCACAAACTCTGGGATCTGTACCCATGTTGTCTCTCCTGGATTTGCCTGGACATTGATACTAACATCTGCTTTGTTAACAGAAATGGTCACTGATGTCCCCGAGGTGTAACCTGTGATGAACAACCTGAAGTCTTTACTACCATAAGTAGATAAGTGATTCTGCATGAAGACAGTGATAAATTCTGTTCCTTGGGGGCCTGAGCAAGAGGAATCTGGAATGTCTATAGATGACACTGTGATGAAGATATCTGAAGCACCTGTAAAGACAGAAAGACAGAGGAGATAGGCATAAACCACTGTTTCAATTCTGTCCATGCCCCACCTTATGAGACACCCTTTTTTTTTTTATTATTCAGTGTCAGTTTTACTATGGAAACTTTATTAAAAGGAATTACTAAGGGAAAAAACAACTGAAGACAGTTGGCAGTTTTTCAAAGGGACGTTATTAAGGGCCCAAAAGCAAACTATTCCACTGAGTAGGAAAGAGAGAAAGTATGGCAGGAGACCACGCTGGATCAACTGAGAGATCGTATATGATTTAAAAATAAAAAAGGAGTTGTATAAAAAGTGGAAACTAGGTCAAATTACAAAGGATGAGTATAAGATTAGAAAGGCAAAGGCACAAAATGAACTCAATCTACTAGAGACATTTGGGGTATGTCTAGACAGCATCCCTCTGTCAGAAGAGGGATGCAGATTAGGCAGGTCGACATTGCAAATTAGGCAGGGATTTAAATATCCTGTGCCTAATTTGCATAAAATGGCCACCATGTTTTGCCGACTCAGCACTTGGTCGGCAAAAAGCGGCAGTCTAGAGGGGGATCTGTAGAGAAAGAAAGCCTTTTTCGACAGATCCTGTAAACCTCCTTGCAGCAGGCATAAGGGATCTGTCAAAAAAGGCTTTCTTTCTCTACAGATCCCCCTCTAGACTGCCACTTTTTGCCCACAAGCTGCTGAGACGGCAAAATGCGGTGGCCATTTTATGCAATTTAGGTGCGGGATATTTAAATCCCTGCCTTATTTGCAATGTTGACCCGCCTAATCTGCATCCCTCTGCCGAAAGAGCGATGCAGTCTAGACATACCCAAAGGGTAACAAGAAAATATTCTACAAATATATTAGAAGCAAGATAAAGACCAAGGACAGAGTAGGCCCATTGCTCAGTGAAGAAGGAGAAATGATAACAGGAAATTTGGAAATGGCAGAGTTGTTTAATGCCTTCTTTGTTACAGTCTTCACCAAGAAGACTGATGGTGACAGGATGTCAGTGGAAGGGGGTAGGTTTAGAAGTTAAAGTAAAAGAACTAGTTAAAAATTACTTAGAAAACTTTTTTAAATTGTATCCTTTGGTATACAGGCAGTCCCCAGGTTACGTACAAGATAGGGACTGTAGGTTTGTTTTTAAGTTGAATTTGTATGTAAGTCGGAACTGGTACATATTGTAAGACTGATGGTGACAGGATGTCAGTGGAAGGGGGTAGGTTTAGAAGTTAAAGTAAAAGAACTAGTTAAAAATTACTTAGAAAACTTTTTTAAATTGTATCCTTTGGTATACAGGCAGTCCCCAGGTTACGTACAAGATAGGGACTGTAGGTTTGTTTTTAAGTTGAATTTGTATGTAAGTCGGAACTGGTACATATTGTACCCCAGGTGTCCCCGATTCAGCCGCTGCTGAAACTGACCAGCGGCTGACTACAGGAAGCCCGAGGCAGAGCTGCTTTGCCCCGGGCTTCCTGGAATCAGCCGCTGATCAGTTTCAGCAGCAGCTGACTTGGGGACGCCTGGGTTTCTTAAGTTGAATCTGTATGTAAGTC